TTATAAATAACTAGCGTTCATACGGGCACTCTCGTGCCCGTCCGCTTTTTTTAATGCACACAACATAGAAAAATAAACGTGTGTATATTTTGTATGAAGTTTTTATCATACTTAAGATTAACTAAATACATTTGTTTTTAGATATCCTCAAGCAGTCTTAAAATCAGGATGATAAATGTATATATAATAAAAATATTTTAGTGAATTAACTATACATTAATGCTACTATTATTTTAAACATACCGAAATAAATAAAATTTAGATTAAAAAATATGTTGTCAAAACATGCTAATAATATTATTACATTTTGAAAATGACAAATAAAGTTATTCTAAATTATATTAAATAATTGAATAACACAAAGTACTATTTATACTGTGTAATCAATAACGTTCTTTAAGAGGAAGGTTGAACATAAAATCTTTATCTTGAAAATTTTCTCTCTCCCTGCAATTGTTTTCCGTAGTAAAGAAAAAATGTAAGACTCTCACATTAGAATTGCTTTAGAGAAAAATACAGTGAAAGTAATAGTAATTAGTGTAATATATTATTTAAGAGGAAGGCTGAACATAAAATCTTTATCTTGAGAATTTTCTCTCTCCCTGCAATTGTTTTCCGTAGTAAAGAAAAAATGTAAGACTCTCACATTAAAATTGCTTTAGAGAAAAATACAGTGAAAGTAATAGTAATTAGTGTAATATATTATTTTTCTACCTTGTAAAGATTCGAATCAATTCTTCATACATCCCTTTATCAATGCGCTCTTGAGCTTTAAAAAACTACAAATACATCATGAAATGTCATATCAACAAAGAAATACATTCAAAACATGTGATTTGTTTGATTATAATCTGGTGTACTGAGCCATAAATAAATGTATACATGAAGAATGGAGATATTTTGTTTTAGTTCAAATTTGGTAGAACAACAATCCTGACTTATTTTTGAATTACGTGGATTTCTGATAAAAAAAGGAAAACAATGGGTTTAATGAATATACATGGTTTTATTTACACAAACCAATAATAAAAGTAAAAGTCATGCATTCAAAAATATTCTAGGGATAAATATTATTAAATGAATAAAATAAAAACATGTCCATCCTTTGAGATATTATTTCTTTTTTTCACCATTTTTCAAAGTTGTGTTTTATCTGTTATCAATTTGGAGCCCCAACCGACAGAGGAAACATTTAGACGCTTGACCTGTTTTAATAAGGATGATAAAAGTGTTAGTGAAAGAGTGGTGAAAATGCAAAAAACAGATTTTTGTATACATGTTGCGAAAATGGTAAATGCACCTTATTGTCTAGCTTGCCGATAGATGAAATTGTTTGTTCATCCTTCCATGTGTTCCATTTATCTTTGAAGTCCCCCATCTAAATTTTTTTCCGTATAAGAATAGTGAGAATAAGTATGATCCAATTGATTGATTATATTAAAAGCATAAAATAAATGATTAAGTATAGCTTACTTTTATGTCGAAGCAAGTTTCAACATTCTTCCGTCTCAGCTCCTTACATAATTGGAAGACTTCATTGTGTTTTAGTTTGGTTGTATATCAAAGCCACACAATTTTATACTTAGTTATACTTAGTTATACTTAGTTTTATTATATAAAGAATACAATATAATATTGGTATTTCGTGTAACTAAAATGGGAATCAATGTGTGAGATTATTTTTTTAATTTACGTAATGATACATGCGGGTGTGATAAAAGAATTTGTTTAAAGACTACAATTTTTATGTAGTCACCATCTTCTCCTTCCAATTTTCCTTCCTTGGATAAAACTTTTGTTGTAGTATGTGAAACACCTCTGGATAAAGCCACATATAATTGTCCATGACTAAAAACATGTCGTGGAAGATATATTCCAACATTTGGGATGGTTTGTCCTTGTGACTTATTTATTGTAATTGCAAAACTTAGTCGCACAGGAAACTGCTTTCTACTAAGGACAAAAGGCAACTCATCACTGGCCGATGTTTTTATTTTAATTCTGGGCAAGAAAGCTCGTCTTCCTGCGTTGTTTCCTGTCAAGATTTCTACATCCAACATATTCATATATAACCCACGATATAATAATCACGTCCCATTACACAACCCATATCTAGGATCTAGATTTCGCAACAACATCAATAGTGCACCCTTTTTCATCTTTAGAATACGTGGGGGCAAACTACCTTGTGAAATTGAGTTTAAGAATTCTTGCTAGTATAAATTATTATTATCCCTTTCAACCTCGTCAAATGATAACAAATTATGTTCTTCTCTTGGAAACTGGTCAATAATTATATCATTCAATTTTTGGACATCATTGTTTGTTGGGCCCAAAATAGCTCTTTGTACCATATAAAGGGAATCCCAACCATGCAATTCTAAATCAGGAAAAATATGTTGTATAAGCACTTGTATGGAATGTTCACCTTCCCATGGGACTGCAATCTGTGAAGGAAACCTCACCATGTCATCTGGTTTGGTAGGTTCAACACCATCACCAACGTGCATAAGAAATTCTGCAAACTCTTGATCATGCAATGATCGCATATTTTGACGCAATCGCAAAATTTTGGTATGAGCCCATAAATGAGACTGAACAATACACGCAGAAATCATTTGTACCTTAGTACCTTTTCTTACAACAGGAAGAACTTGACGAAAGTCTCCCCCATGATCATAAATTTTTCTCTAAATGGAGCATTGTTGCTACAAATGTCTTGTAATGATCGATCTAAGGCTTCCAAACAATTTTTGTTTATCATTGAGGCTTCATCCCAAATTATTGCAGCAGAAACCCTAATGAGATTTGCAAGATCTCTTTGCCTTTGAATACCACAAATGGAACTCGGTTGTATATCGATAGGTATCTTAAATAGAGAGTGCGCAGTTCTACCACCGGGTAACAATGTTGCAGCTATACCAGATGATGCAGTTGCCAAAACAATTTCTCCTCTACTTCTTAAACTTGCCATTAATGCTCTATAAAGGAATGTTTTACCTGTTCCTCCTGGACCATCAACAAAAAATACCCCACTGTGTTTTTGATCAATTACCTTCATAATGGTTTTGAACATAATCACTTGGTCATTATTTAACTTTGCAACAGATTCAATATCTTCATTGGGGATATCGACTGCTAACTCCTCATGTATGACACTTGGAATCGAATATCCTTGTACTGTATCAAAGGGTAAAGATAGGAGATCATAATCTTCAATCTTTTTACCGTGCAGGTTTAAGAGTTCATTCAAGTCCTTCAACAACATATTAGTCAAGACCGATTCCACAACATTGTTTTTTGTTTGATAATCCTCTGTCATATGTGTAAAAAACTCATTCCAAAGGCTTCTAACATCAGTAGGTTCGCAAAATATGAGAATCGTCATGAATAACCTCCTTAAAGCATGTGGCATTCGGAGACTCGCCGCTTCAACCAAACAATCATGAATACTATGATCAGTCTCTAGAAATCCTCTATCCTCGGCTGATTTTTTGAATGTACTGAAAGAAGTGTCATTATTTGTAAGAAGATATTCCCAACTGGTTGGACCTCTGACATGAGATAACAGTACTCGCAAGTAAAACTTCTCTCCCTCCGAAGGTGATACCGTATATATTCTCCTGATTACTTTTCTTAGTGATCGCCTGCGATGCCATTCCTTGTCCCTATTATTCAAACAATAATGCTCTGAAATCTCTCTATATAGATAATTTCTTACTTCTGAACCTCTTAGATTTAAAGCAAAGAATTGTGTGAGCATTGTTTTGGAATTGCGTTCATTATTTAACAAATCCACAATTCGCTGATGATCATAAAAGCGCACTTGATGGCGGTTCGGCAAGTGGATCTGTAATCTTTCAATAGAAGGATATAATCGATAAAGAGTGAAGCGAAATATTTTCCATAATGCCTCAGGAGCACAAATCCATCTTGCATCAACATATTGTTGAACTTCATCCATGTATAATCCTTTGTGAACCTCCATAGACACACGATCAGGGCCCTTGTACACATATTTGTATAGATACTTGATACTTTTAATGCTACTGCAAATCTCTACATTGATGTGGCAGTCATACTTTAACAGTAACCAAGGGTTATAAGGAGCCACCCATCTATTGTCGACATACGTACCTCTACCTAACGATATAGGTTCATCAAACCTTCTCCTGTACTCAGGATATGAGTCAGTGTCTTGACGTGTTTCATCCAAGAATTGTTTTAGATATCTTTTTTACAATGTCCGTCTTTCATACATGGGGACTTCCCGTTCATAACGCCGCAAGGTCCGTGGATCATATGTTTTAGAACCGTTTCATGCAACTGTGGTTCACATTCTAACTTAGGTATTTATGCTTTTACCACATTATCATACTCTTCTGGACCATGTAATTTGTTGTTACTTTCTAAGACCAACAACATATGCATATGCGGCAATCCTCATTTTTGAAATTCAGTGACATACATGTAGCTTTTAACCTTTCCTAAGACTCCTTTATTAATAACATCATCCTTTAATTGCTCGAATTTCGAACGAAATATTCTTGTTAGCAAATCTGGACGATCTTGTGGTGTTTAAAAAGGCAAAAGTTCTGATGTTATCTCACTCCAAGAAGGATTGCATGTCATTGTCAGAAAAACATCTGGTTTACCACCATGAAGAATAATAGCCATGCCATCTTCATAACATTGTGTCATGTCTCGACGACCTCCAATAAATGATGATGGCAATATTTTTCTTTTTTCAATATTTTCTATGGTGATTCATGAAATGTATTAGTTTCAGAATACATGAAAGATTATCATTATAAGTACAACAACTAATTAGTAATCTAAAAATATATATTTATGCTACATTATTTAGTACTTGCATTAGTTTCACCGACATGCAAAGCATCCTATAAACCTTGGTACACTTCAACACGTATATCACGTTGGTGCTCTCTAATCCACCTTAACCTCCCTGATTCAATTTTGACATAATTGTCTACAACATATTATTGCAACAATCGACCCGCATTTAACAACATTGATTGATCATTTGGAAGAATCTATAATTGATTGAAAAACATGTCGACGTTAAAAGTGATGTGTTTTAAACTACACTTATCTAAGTATACTATTTACTAATTAATCTAAATTTACCTGAAGTATGTAACTGTAATATGCTCGACATGACATAGGAAACAATATAGGATACTGCAACGGATCATAATATCCCTTTGTCTCTTGAACTTTCTTTAGATTTCCATCACGACGAATAACATTAATATCCCTTCCATATTCCATAGAATCTGAATCTCCTCCAACAATAATTGCCGCAACTTGTTCTGCAGTTGGAAGATTATATTGATGGTGATTACTTAGACGCTCTTTAAGTATGAAGCTACATTCACCGATATTTGGAAGTTGTAACAGTTGTCTGAACCTAATTACAAAATGATTAAACTGATGGAGCATTTTTTGTAATTGTTGAACTACATTTTGGTGGAGTTGTGGATTTTCTTGCATTCTATTATGTAGCTCATTATCTGCGTCGTAGATGTATAGCTGTAAGAAATGCGGTCTGACACCCTCATTTGGATAAAAACCTCCTATGTTATGGTAAAAAGAACCTTGAGCACAAAATGTATATATACCACGACCAGATGCAAGAATATTCTCATCAACGTGAACACCAATTGAAGTGAATGAGAGCACATGGTTGTAACTTCAAATATGTTGCCTAAAATGCCTTCCTTCTATTGAACCGTCCAAAAATAATTGTTGCAATTCTATAGGAGCATTAACTCGTGAAAATGATACCTTTCCACCAGTACAACATGTATCACGTGATTCATGATGAAACAATTTTGCACTGCAATATCTACCGGAAATTGGATTAGGCAACTGGGATTTTTCCACATCGAATTATTTTTGAAATTTCGAGCAATATTGTGTCTTGCTCAAAAAGCGTGTCTTGATTCTACAGGGAGGAGTTTGATATTGATTACTAAATATTATCTAAAATTTAAAATACAAATAAATAATTAATGCAAGATTTCTAAATTAGAAGATTTAACATTGCATAATTTTCAGTTTTATGTCACTTGAGTATAAGCTACATTATTTGGCACAAAAATGTTTATGAACATACCTTGAGGATGACATGATGCACCATCATTTATGGCTTCCATGTTAACATCTGATATTACTGCATCCTCCAAAGCTTCATCAACATCCATATCGCCTGATACAAGAATAATAATTAATACATATATATATATATATATATATATATATATATATATATATATATATATATATATGTGTGTGTGTGTGTGTGTGTGTGTGTGTGTGTGTGTGTGTGTGTGTGTGTGTGTGTGTGTGTGTGTGTGTGTGTGTGTGTGTGTGTGTGTGGTGTGTGTGTGTGTTGAAATTACTGCTCGCATACGTAGAACAATATCCCGTATACGTGTATTAGGAAGATCCTAAAGTCCCACATTGGTTGGAGATAGAGGATTGAAATAGTTTATATAGAGTGACACCCCTCACCTTACCAACCGGTTTCATAAGGTTGTGTTAGGCCAAACTCTAATATGGTATCAGAGCCTATCGATCAGACCTTGGGCAACCCACCGTTTAAATTCACGCACCAAGCCCAAAAGAGTGATGGGCGTGAGGGGGTGTATTAGGAAGATCCTAAAGTCCCACATTGGTTGGAGATAGAGCAGGAAGATCCTAAAGTCCCACATTGGTTGGAGATAGAGCATTGAAATAGTTTATATAGAGTGTCACCCCTCACCTTACCAACCGGTTTTGTAAGGTTGTGTTAGGCCAAACTCTAATAACGTATAGCGTAGTGACTATTGTTGATACGTTGGTTAGGTGATGTGCAATTATGATCTGCGGGTTTAAATACATAAAATGAGAGATGACAAATAAACAATATATACAATGTACGATTATAATGTCTATGTTGATCATCACCAACCAAGTGCAACATCATTAACATGTGTAATTATACTTGGGTTGCCTTCACTGTCATGAGTTCCTTGAAAATGTCACGTAGTAAATAATTTTCTCTTTGCTCGACGTTCATATTTTGTCTCCTCTTCCTTTCATTTTTTCCCCTTCTTACCCTTTGTTGTTGACTTGATATCTGACGAGTATTATTTTCCATTTTGTTAATGTAACTGCCAAACACATATGCAATTTATAAGCAACATAATTTCACTAATTATGTTAAAAAATATTGATAAATATAGATGAGATTTAAAATAAATATATATTTTTTTTGGAAAAAAGAAGTTTACACCAAAAAGTATTATTTGTAAAAGATATGTTAAAAATATAAATTAAAACTAAAATATAAAAAAGACGAAGAAGAAATGGGCAATCAATAAAAAGAAACATAAATTATGTCGGACAAATAGATGAAAAGATTGCATATTAACTAAACATTAAAATATAAAATGGGGTAAGAAATGAAATTAGTGTAATTTATGTTATGGATAAAAGATATATTAAAATAAAATGAGAAAAGATAGTGTTATATTCCTTGTAGGTTCATAATAATATTTTTATATTACTCCAAATTATTTTATATTTTAATTAACTCATAATATTATCATTGAAGCTTTTTTCGTTGATCAAAAGTAAATTTTCATCTTTTTATTAATTATTAAAATAATTATGTTTTAGCAATAGGTTATTTGAATGTATTAGTATTAAAGATGAAAATTGAAGAAACCATTTTTAAAAATTGTCAGATTTATTATAGTCTTAATTGTGTTGTCTAATACTACAGTTGTAGAAATAATAATCTCTATCCTATTTGGTTAACCTCTAAATATACTTAACCTCGACCCTATTTGGCTAATATCTAAATATACTTAAACTCTACCCTATTTGGTTTACCTCTAAATATATTTGACACAAAAGCCTTAATTGTATGGTGTGTGTCTATATATATATATATATATATATATATATATATATATATATATATATATATATATATATATATATATATATATATATATATATATATATATATATATATATATATATATATATATATATATATATATATATAACATAGATGATACATGAAACTTTTTATAGAATTAAATCATGCATGTATTTATTATCACTAAATACAACCTATTACAACCATATAATATTCTAGTTCTCAACAATTCAAATTAAAGATAATAAATAATTTTTATAATGGCTTGATTGATAGAATAAAATTTTACTTATTAGAATAAGACTATCTTAATAAATAATCTTGTGTTTCCCAACATAATAAACAAAGACTGAATTACATGTAATATGCAGTATAAGACATATAATTCTTTATAGCATAATGAATTTCTTACAAATTCTGCACATATAATTTTGAATTGGAGTTAAATACCTTATATCCTTTACTAAGGCATGAATCAACTTGTCAAATACAAATGTGTTTGCTACTGTCACCGTCTATGATAAAAATTTGACGGGGAATAAAATTCAACTAACTATAACTCTTCACTACTACTTACATTTAATTATTTATTTTATTTTTTAAAATTTTAAATTAAATAAATAATATAAACATTTCAAAAAAAATTATTTTTTTCCTAATACTTGGATAAGAATATTATTTGTTAATACCTTTAAGAGAGAATGTTATTTAGAAATTAACATACTAAAAAAAACATCAACAAATATAAACGATAAATAATATTCTCTCTTACTCAGTTGAAAACAAAAAACATCAACAAATACAACCCTTGGATAAAATTGTTACAGTTATTTAGTGTATATACTAGCTCTCAATTATTATAGTTTTTTTTAGTACGTTACAGTTATTTCTAAATACTCTTAAGTATGTTACAGTTATTTAGAAATAACATTCTCTCTTAAAATTGTTACAGTTATTTCTTACTCTAAAATTGTTACAGTTACAGATGAATTTATTTAGTATCTTACAGTTATTTCTAAATACTCTCTTAAATGAATTTTTTCAAAGCTACGGTTATTTAGCATATATGCTAGCTCTCAATTTCTAAATAACAATTTTATTTTTTTCCCTAACACTTGGATAAATAATATACAACAAACTTTTTACTCAACTGAAGATTAAAAAAACTATTGATGAATAGTTCACATAATTTAAAAACCAATGGCTAGCAGTTACAAAAGCATCATAACCAACAAATACATCAAACATTCTAAAAAAGTTAACTGCAATAGGAAATAAATAAAAAATTGATAACCGAAGCCACTTAAATTATAACTCATGCATCTCATTGATATAAATATAAATGAACTTTTCTCTAGCAATTTAATGTTTACCTAGCAATTATAAGAGGTGGTGTATAAATAACTTATAAGAGGTTATATAGCGCATTTGAGTTTACATAACTCAAGGCGTGATAACCAAACTAATTATAAAATAAAAGAAAAACCTCTATTTCTCTTAATCCATAAACACACTCTCTTAATTTTCATATTAACTTTTCTTCATCATTTCTATTGAATTTCCTTTTCTTTCTTTTTTTAATGTTTATGTTGGAATATTCACCCTTCCAATTCACAATACTCTAACAAAATAAATAAATAAAGATCAACCTAAACATATTTAATAAATTTATTCAATTATATTAAAAAAAAATACCTGACAAAAAATGAATTCTCTTGATAATGAAGTAATGTACCACTCCTTTCACTGCAATAATAGAGTTACTTAAGCCTTTACAAAGTAAGAGAGAAAGAGAAATAATTAATTTGAAAGTAACTTGGCAAAGTGAATATGAAATATTTGTGAGTGGCTTGAAGAGATTGATTTTGCAAGCGAGAGTAGGTAGAATGAACGTAAATAAGATATGCATTGATAGAAATGTTAATTAATATTGAAGTGAAATGAAAAAATAACTAATTTTCAATTTTCAGAATAAAAAACTCTAACATTTTGAATCTGCATTTTGTAAGATGAAAATATAAATCAATTGTGATTTAAAAGCATATTGAAAAAGATGAAGAGTGATTGAAAAACTTTTGAAAAGATGGAGCTTGATTGAAAAATTGAGAGTATGAAAGTAACTCTTTAATAGTTAATTTAATACTTGTAATTTATACCATGAGAGAGAAAGCAGTTTTTTTTTGTTTAAATTAAATATCTAACGTGGGAAAGGAGTTATGCTATGAAATGGTTTGTAATTTTTTGGGTGGTTACATATAGATGATTTAGGAATAAAGTGAGTTTTATAAGGGTAAGTTTGGAAAGGAAATAAGTCATACCAAAATCACCTATCCTCTTTATATATAGGTATAAATGAAGTAGTAGACAAACCAAATCATGTGTGAATCATAGAAGAAAAGGGAAAAATGCAACTTAGGTTTCAAGCAAAATAATTGATGATCAGGGCGCTAATCACTAGAGAGTTCTTTCATACTTTTAATTGTAGCATGAACAAAGAAGTGTGAGACAC